ATTGTACAGTGGCATTTACTGCCGAAATGTGCACCTCTGCCTACTTCGAGGATAAAATGGCGTGATGTTATGTTATGTTTGTTACGCATTCAAGTGGTTAATGTTACTGCACTATCATAAAGTGTTAAACGTTTACACCTACTATTGTGTCTCTCTGCATCACCCTAAGGTTGACTGTTAGAGAATGCCACTAGGCATTAAGTCCGCCATTGTATGCTAGAAGTGTAAATAAATAAACAAATAAATAAAGAATTAAAGAGAGAAGTAGGCTATATCGTAATAATACTTTGCTCAGCTTCAGAATCAAGTAAAAGGTTTCAAATAAGGAAATCTTAATTACAGAATTGCAGTGGCACACGTTTAGCCAACACCACAGTCATTAGCAACGCAATAAATTCTCAGAACTGACATCAATCTTACGTTTTGCAAAAAAGCAGCCATCTTGGTCCATGCCATACGTTGCATGACAATGAACTTTAATCGCTAAAGCAATTAGAACAGGCACTGAGCCATCCAATTAGGCCCTCATTAGCCCAAAGAGCAAAGCGATCCAATTTACAGATTCAAATCAGTATGGATTGTAGATGAAAGCAATTTAGGTAATCTTGCTTCACATATATTTTATTTTAATATCCAATCTGTCGACTGATGGTCGCAAGCTGGGTATTTGATATCTGCCGTCCACTTTTAAACGTTCAGCAAATGTCGAATTGCTATTAAAATAGTGCATTATTATCTACTTTTTTTAAATTATGTTCGTACGAGGTCGAACTTTCTGTTTGGAAGTGAAGAAGACTTTTGAGATTTCGATTATAATAGTCCTAAAACATTATATTACGCTATATAGTAAGTACCTATATGTCAGTGGAGGTAGGATTATGTTCCGTTTGCTCAGACATAATGTGGGCGAATTTGAGTATCGTGTAAATAAGAAAAGCATTTAGAATTATTCACTGAGTTTCTTATAATCACAAGATACAGTAACTGGCCACTAAGCGAAACGTAGGGCAGTTCCGTGACAACGTCTTTACTCGGTGGCGACTCGAACTGAAGTGAGCTCCGCTGAGTGCGACTCTGACTCCACGACTCTGCCTAAGCGCACCAAAAATCCGCTAGGTGGCGCACTTGCGTTTCATTTAGCGTCCATACTCATGACCGGGTCCGACATATATTTGTACTATACCTAAAATCCAACTTCTAACGAACAAGTAATACAAATTCTAACTTAAAATGTTAAGTTAAAATAGAGCTAATTATTCCAAAGCGTAGTTACTGAGTGCAGTGTAAACTGACCTCCCAGTGTGACCTCTATAGGTATTTGTGTTAGGCATCAACAACTTAGTACTCAAAGCCACAACTTTTCTCATAATAGTCTCGGATTGCGTTGAATAATTAGAATGTTTAATTGCATAATAAGTCTTTAACGCCTGTACGTATTTGTGAGCAAATATTTTTTGTACGAAATAAGTATTGCTCAACGTTTTTGTGTATTAGATTTGTGAATTATTGCTGTGAGTCTTTCAAAAAGAGTAAATATGAACAATTTAAATAGTGTTTAAAAGTAACGATTTATTTTTTTTCAATAGCTACAGATAAGTGGTTTGGAATGATTAAAATTGGTAATTTCTAACCAACTTAATATCTAAATTACTATGGCTTTCTTTTTTTGTCTATGGCATAAGCCGGTCAACGAGCAGACGGATCACCTGGCGTTACCGGCCTTTTGGGGATTGGAAGTTTGAGGATCGTTGGGGATTCAGGAATTGGGAGATTGGCGAAGGGGAGGGTAATTGGGCCTCCGGTAACCTCACTCACACGACGAAACACAACGCAAGCGTTGCTTCACGTCGGTTTTCTTGAGGCCGTGGTATCACTCCGGTCGAGCCGGCCCATTCGTGCCGAAGCATGGCTCTTCCAAACTTTCGTCTTACTCACGTAATTATTTAACGACGAATATGTGTAGACATAGAGTAGTGCTACTTGCTACTCAGTAGCAGCGCGACAATCGCCGCGTCGCAGGTCGTGTAATGCTGCTTATGAATATGAGGCTCTAGCATGACGTGAAACTAGTGGAGCGAGTTCCTCGCCAAGTATCACGCGAAGAAGCCGAATAACATAATAATTAAGTTACTATGTCTCAAAAACAAAAAAACCTAACCATGTAAACTAGTTCTTATCGACGACGAATTAAACCTCATTTTTACAATTACAAAAAACAAACTTTACAAATAGATACCGCCTGTAAATAGCTAATTTACATAAAGTATTTAGAATTCAAGACGATGCTACGTTCGTGTATTATCTTTTAAATACAAATTAGACTTATTTTCTTATTTACGTAGCATTGAAAATTTAAGAAATTAAAGTGTATATTTTAAAATGGTGGCTGTTCAAAGAGTGACTATTGAAGACATATTGGCTAAATTCAGTTTGTTAAGTCCTTATTATCTTAAATTTTTCTCTGTGATCCTTTTTGCTGCGGCGACAAATGCGTTTTACAGTGTCAACTATGTGTTTGCTGCTTCAAACACTAATTATAGGTGGGTGACGTATTTGTATAATATTACAGTACAATAATTACAGTAGAAATTTTAATAGTAAGCCTTATACTACTATACTCTCTAAATTGCTTACTTTTGTGTGAAATATTGTTTCTCAGTCAGTGAATTATATATGTGATTATTTATGAGAAATAAATATATTCTAAACCTAAACCTAATCATAGCAGTGTAGAAGAGGAACTTCTCTCTGGTAAACCTGAACCTTCAAAACATCGATCTCTAACCTGACTACCATATTTTCTCAATATAAGGCAGACCTTATGTAGAAAATGGTGTTTTATGCACTCTAACAATTAGTATAATGATTTTTTTATGGAATAGGAGGTAAACGAGCGGACCGATCACCTGATGGCAAGCGATCAACGCCGCCCATGGACACCCGCAACACCAGTGGAGTGCTTTGTTTTGCTTTGCTCATTCTCTGTTAGGTACACTGGATTTCGAACTGTTCTATATTTTCACTGCAATAACTTGCTTTAACATCTAACTAAAACCATCCATATTTCTTCCCCACAGATGTAAATATACACAATGTGAAGACATAAGTCTTCCAGACACTTTAGAGCCCACTCTACATAAGTACGGGTGTTACCAATTACAATTGATATCAAACAATGGTACCTGTTCTTTGGGCAACGCTGACATATCCAGCAATGAAGATTTAGAAATCTGTGACGAATTTGTGTACAAAGATGAGAATTCCTTTGTTGGAGAAGTATGTATCTTTTATGAGATTGTCTCTAACACAGTGCGTATAGTTATTTTTTTATTTAGGCAAGACGGATCAACTGATTGTAAGCGATCAGTGCCGCCCATATGGCTACCCACAGCACGAGAGGAGTCACAGGTTACCGGCCTTATAAAAAGTAACTTAACTTTGTTTCAAGGCCGCATCGGTATGGAAATACCACCAATGACAAATTATATCAATCTAACAAAGAGCTTGGCAAAAAGTCATCCTGTTTAAGCAATGTGACTCCTGAAAATTTTACTTCTCTTAAACTGTCAAACACCAAGCGGTCACCGGTGACTACAACCTATTGTTCTATAATTGTGTCTACAAAACCGGTACTCGACGAGTTAAATTACTTTTTTCAAAACGAGGTAATGTTCTGTTTTTTTATTTTAGCACAATCTGGGCTGCTCAGATTGGAAGCGCACATTCCCAGGAATGATACACAGTTTCGGCTACATGATCGGACTTCTTATGATGGGACCTCTCGCTGACAAGTAAGAACTAATGTAGGCAACTCTTATGTTAAAAACCTCCTTTGTAGCGCGATAAGAAAAATTGGGGTAACGTACTGAATTCGTGTTCGCGCTAAAATTCAAAATTCGAAGCCTCGCCCACGCCTCGCTCGAGCGGGCCCGGCGCTCGCGCCAACAGTCGCCGATGAAACGTTGAATGGGAGAGTATGTTCGAACACGCTCCGCGTTCCCGCCAATTTTCTCGGATGTTGAATTCGTTGTGGAAACATCCAGCCCTAATCTATTTCAACTAAACACCCAAAAAGTTCATAACCTTCAATTTGTTTCACATTTGTTCCTATTATCACATTTCCATATTTTAACGGCGTAATATATTAAGTTAGTTTAACGGCGTATTCATAACGGCGTAATTTTAATGAAGCGCCAAATTAAAATACTCTAACCATCGAACATTCATGAAAAGACTGATGCCTGTTGATGAAGCTAAAGTGGTATGTAAGAATCGTAGCAATTAGCGTTCCAGTCTCTCAATACCCCCATAGGAGACAGGCGTGAAGTCGTGTGTGTATGTAACTTTCATAAAATTGGTGGCTTTCATAAAGGTGGTGCTAGTAAGGACGTGACTGGGTATAGGCCTATAGCGGTACTTTCGGTTTTCGGAAAGATATTTGAGTCTATTTTAGATAAACGAATAAGACAGCAGATTCAGTTACTGACTGCCGACGAACAGCATGGATTTAGGGGATCTCGATCAACTACAACAAGCTTAATTAACTTCGTGGATTTTGTTACTGGTGAGATGGATTCCGGAAGGCAGGTGGATGCAGCCTACTTTGATTTCCGGAAGGCCTTTGACGTAGTTGACAATGATATTTTACTGGCAAAAATGGCAGCTATTGGCTTTAGCCCTGGGTTGCTAACATTTTTTGCATCCTACCTGCGAAACCGGACTCAATATGTCAGGCTGGCACAATTTGAATCGGACAGCTACTACACAAGATCGGGCGTGAGTCAGGGGAGCACACTAGGACCAACCCAGTTTATCATTATGATTAATGATCTGCCGAGGGCCGTTAGTGCTGCTAAGTGTTTATTATTTGCAGACGATTTGAAACTATATCACGTAGTTAAAAATATCTCAGATTGCAGTGATCTGCAAAAGGACATAGACGCAATAGCTAAATGGAGTCACAATAATCGACTGTATTTTAATGGGTCAAAATGTAAAATTATAACCTACACACGCGCTCGCAGGCCAGTAATTGCCAATTATGGGTTATCGGATAGACAATTGGATAGAGTTGAGATAATAAGAGACTTGGGACTAACTTTAGATTCACAACTAAACTTCAGACAGCATATGATAAATGTTTGTGAGAGTGCTAATAAAATGTTGGGATTTGTGATGAGGATTTCGTTTGACTTTAAGGGAATTGGAGCAGTCCTAACTTTATACAAGGCTTATGTTCGTAGTCAGCTGGAGTATGGTGCGGTGGTGTGGGACCCCCACGAAACAAAATACTCCATCCTAATTGAGCGTATGCAAAGAAAATTCGCTCGATTTGTGTATAGGAAGAGGTACGGATATTATCCCTACCTTTATCCTTCAATGTTTGTCTCAGGGATGGTAGGACTGGATACCCTACAACTAAGACGTAAATTATTATTACTGGTACACTACTATAGACTCCTCAGTAACAAGGTAGACAATCCCACTACACTAGCACGAGTGGGGTTATTGGGAGTTCCTAAACGATATATCGAGGCTGGTGATGGCACAGAGGGACCGCGTAGGCGGAGGAAATTATTTGCTATGCCACCAGGCGTACGCACAAAGCGAGGTGCTGCAGCACCAACGGCAAGAGCGATGGGTCTCATGAACTCGATGATAGCTCAGCACCCAGAATTAGATGTGTTCCACGATAAGTCGTATGTCATACGGAAATTAATGTATAAGTTTTTAAATATAAATCTCAATAATATAGGAATAGGAACTATCTAAGTGATTAATATTGTAATAGGTTTAAGTTTCTTTTTGTATCCTAGAATGTAAGTATTTTGGCTCTTGCTGTAAACTTTCATTTTAATGTAAATAAATAAATAAATAAATAAAACCGATGGGAAAATTAATTTTCTAAACAATTACATATTTTCAATATTATTGTATAAACTATATGTATAAAATTCTTTTCTGATGTTTTTATCTAAACTACCGCCTCCATAACAAATTCCTAGCAATAGACCCTAGATTCGATTTCAAAGTATAGCACTCCAATTTCAATCCTCATTTACAATAAAAAGCAGTTTACGTATCATAATTTTAAGTATTCTTCTTCTATGAACACAAAACAATGAAGTTTAAACATTCTTTAAGTAGATGTTTGTTCCAGGATCGGTAGAAAGAAACTGATAATTTTGACGGGAACTATAGCAGCGTTTATGGGACTTGCTAAGAGTATAGCGCAGGTTTACTGGCTGTACATAGTTTTGGAGCTGGTCGAGGCTTTGTTTGGAGATACTTACTCATGTACATTTATGTTAGGTGAGTAACGAAGCCAATTTTTTAATAGGGTTGGAATCAGACGTCACTTTATGCCCTCTTTCTGATTTATAAACCATAGTAAGGTCAGGAATAACCGAAATGAATAAAAACATGTTCACAAAAAAGTTTTTAAAAAACAAATCATAATTACAACACATTCACTTGGCTGTAAATAAAATGACAACAACGTAAAAATCTTGTACTTTATAATACATTTTGTTAAAGAAAAACGCATTTATTTAAAATCTCTCTTCAAGAATAATCTTCTTGTTTATTTAACGTATAACGTATTAAACAAGTATCAAAAATTCAAACTAAACACGAATACTTGTGTTGATTCATAAATATTAAAGAACACTTCAAAAAGCGAGCTCAAGATTTATGAATTCACTTCAAAATAAATGACAATGTCTTAAACTACTAAAAGCAAACATCTTTGCAGGTGTAGAAATGGTAACAAAAGAGAATCGAGTTTCATTCATCACGCTAATGACAGCAAGCACGTCGATAGCAGGAATATTGATGGCTCTCATAGCCTGGGCAGTTCCCTACTGGAGATATTTCCTCAGAGTAATTTATGCACCGTCCTTGCTATTTTTATTATTCGCTTTTCTGCTGGATGAGAGTCTCAGATGGTTATTAATCAAAGGACGAAAGGAAGAAGCTAAGGATGTGATAATGAGAGCAGCTAAATTATCCAATATTGACTTAAGTGATGTCGACTTAGATAACATAGAATGTGAGAAGGAGGTTGAAGCAACGAATTGGATGGACCTTCTTAAAGTGACGGTTGGGTCGAGGAAGTTGGTGTTTCGGTTTGCTGCGTGTGTCTGCATGTGGGTCACTGGCCTGTTCAACAAGTACACCTTACTAATAAACTCAGTAGAACTAGAAGGGAATAAGTACATCAACTATGCTTTGACCTCGTTCTCTGAACTTCCAGCTAGTTTCGCCATAGTATTCCTGCTGAACAGATATAAAAGAAGAATACCATTGATGTTTACATTTCTATTGACTGGCGTTTTTTGTATTGGACAGTCTTTTGTGCCGAAAGGTAATTCGCGTTTTAACAGTAAACAAATTTATTTTGAGTAAATACACTTATTATGTACCCTTTCGTAATTAACTCATAATTAATAAATTATTGTTGAAATGCTAATGGATAATGGGAAAAGAGTTTTCCATGGTCCAGTATGTCAGCATTAGTTTACAAAAAAGAAAATGTTTACAGAGACCAATTTCTTAATCTCTATAATTATACTTCTTCCAAGAATTTAACACTCTTATGTCTAAATACTAAAAGTCTCTATTTTAAGTCACGCTTAAGTATAATTCTGTCAAACGACAGAGATGGCACGATATTTAAGTACAACTTCAAATTTAGTAAGCTCTCAGTATTCGGTCGTACTATGAACTATTTTATGGTTATTTAACCCAGTTCTTAGCAATAGTTTTCTGAACAAAATCCTTTACTAAGGAATAGTTTAAATTATCGTTAAATGTCTCTGAATATGGCAGTAAAACCTTATATGACTTGTCCTTCAACAGATTAACTTATAAAGTCGGACTTCTCTTCCTTTGCAGGTAACATAATACTATCAATATCTTTGTTCCTGGTGGGACGATTCATGGCGACCATATCTCTTGCTATCGTCTACTTATACACGTCAGAATTATTCCCCACACACACTAGAAACACGATGCATGCGTTGTGCTCATCATTAGGAAGAACTGCTACTCTGGTGGCGTCACAGACTCCACTAATGGTAAGTTAACAAAATTAAACAAAGTCCTATCTGCAATACCTACATATGTGCACACCAATCATGTCTATCCGTTGGTCCTGGTCTGGGTGTAATATGTATGTGAAATTACAGCTGTAAACACACTACCGTACAGAATAAAATACTAGGGTGGGATAACGCATTCAAAACATAAATATTGCTATAGATATGAAGGTATGTATGAATGAAAGCGAGACGATCTCCGGCCACCGTAAGCACGGGCCTGCATCCGCAGCACGTCATGCACTCGCCGCCCAACCGCCCGCGCCTCAAAGAACCATCAGACCACCACAGATGAGGCCCAGTGGGGCTGTTTCCGATAAGGAGACGTGGAGCACTTAACAGGTTTCCGGGGCTCCGGCTCGAAGTGCAGAAGAAGGAACGGGGTAATTTTTAGTCAGTAAGAGTCTGACACTCCCTCTTGCTTCACCCAAGGTGGAAGAAGTAATTGGATGATTGTACCCCTAAAAAAAATTAATATAACTATAAAAGGGTTTCTGAAATTGGATTTCTGTTGCTGGATGTATTGGTAAAGCCTATATATGTTTTTATAATAACTATCGTGAGACATACTAAATTAAGTAAAAACGCGGGTTACTCACGTGAATATACTGAGAAAAGCTCTACTAGTTTCGAACCACAGAGGGGTTCTTCCTCATGAGCAGCGTGCGCGGTCGCGGCGACGTCGCGCAGCTCACTGGCTGGCGTTGGCGCTCGCCTCGGTGTTGCCACCTGCGCTGCGAGCCCAACGCGCCCTCTGTCGGACACTACGAGCGTTTGCTTCCAACTCCGGCAGCGCGTTGGACGAAGCTAAAGCGCACGGTACGTTCACCAGCGGCGCGGGTCGTGGGTTCGATTCCGGGTTCGGCACAAAGTCAGTGTTGCATATAACGCTTACTGTGTCACACTCCAGACTGGAGACGCTGTGGATCGACGAAGACTCCAAGCTCGGCTTCCACGCGGGTGGCAGTGCCCAGCCACCATCCCTGTTGAAGCACGGTCGTCGGCTGATCTCGATGGCCTCTCGCACTTTTCGCGGAACGAAGTATTTTTCTCTCGCTAGTACGGAGACCTTATCAAAACGTATGAAGTGAGCCGCGTCCGTACCACAAACATGTTCAGCCACTGCCGATGCCTGGATGTCCATCTTCTTCACGCTGCGTATATGTTCCTTTAGCCTGGTTGTGATGTTGCGACGAGTTTCCCCGATGTAACTCGAGCCACAGTCGCACGGTATTATGTACACTCCGGGTACAGCCAGTGGATCCTTATCTTTAGGTGAGCGTAGTAGTTGTCTTAGCTGACCGGGTGGGCGGAAGATCGTCCTGATGCAGTATTTACGGCGAAGCAGGTGTCCGATTCTGTCGGTTACTCCTTTCACGTATGGTAAGAACGCTGGAGTCCGTTCCGCAACTGCCGGTCGCTTCCTACTCGAGCTGCTCGCAAGTCGAGTACATTGACGCCAGTTGTATCCATTGTTTTCCAGTACCCGTTTTAAGTGGTGAAATTCGTCGTCAATATACTGGGGATCGCATAGACTCAGCGCCCGGTTTATCAAGGTCCGGGGAACAGCGGCTAGATGGGAGGGATGATGGTGTGAGTCAGCTCGCAAGTACCGGTCCGTGTGTGTCGGTTTACGATACACTGTGTGTGACAATCGACCATTTTCTTCTCGTCTTACGAGGACATCCAAGAACGGCAACATCCCTTCTCTCTCTTCTTCAGTGGTGAATTGTATACTGCCGTGCACCGAGTTCAAGTGTCCCACAAATTCAGCCACATGTTCCCGGTTGACGATCGCGAACACGTCATCAACATACCTCCACCAATGTCGCGGTCGTACCGGGGCGGATGCCAAGGCCTGACCCTCAAACCACTCCATGTAGATGTTAGCCACCACCGG